AAAAGTGCAAAGCTTTGTTTAGTTATAAATAGCAGATTATAAAGAGAAAATCTCACAAAGAGATAATTATGTCTTCTCAACTAAGATTTTAATGAATTTTTTAAAGTTCATTGGGAATATTATCCCAATTTAACATTTCATATAACCCATTATTTAATGCTACATTAACGCCACATAGATTGTGGTTATGATCCCAATGGAACTCAATAGCATTATTCTTAAAATATAGATGTTTCCAATTGTAAATTTAATGAAATTCAATCAAATCATTTAAAATCTTAGTATTCTCAATAACTCATAAATTTATAAGGATTCCATTAATATATGAATTTTAAAAATTTGGACGGATTTCAAGTTTAAAAATACATCTAATAAATTATTTAGAAATTTCACCATTTTTTATGAGATTCTTTTGGATTTTGTGAAAATCTATTCAAATTCAAGAAATTTATTAGAATTATAATCTTTTAAAACACATCAAAATCTTAGTTGATACAAATAAATAAAAATAAAAATAAAACTAACTAATAAATCGACCCCAAGTGTCTGAGACTCAATCATTAATAACAATGCTATCTACTCATTAGTGGGCAAGAGTATTTATTATCTCACGTGGCAAGTTCACTGGAATGGAATGGCTGTCTTACAACTCTTTGGACCAAAAAGAAATTAAAAATTGAAGAAATTTAGAAATTTATATTTATTTTCACCTACCCTAATAGTTAATTATTAGAGAAATATTTATAATAATATGACTTAAGGCAGTCAGCAAGCAAAATCCCAGACATCCAACCAACACAGATATCACATTAACATGGCGAATTACTGGCGCAAATGGTTCTAAACCTTGTCCTTGTCGCTTTTTGATTCATCTTTTGCATCAAACGTTTCATTTTAGGCTCCTATGTCATTAATAGTAAAATTGTAATTTTGGATGAATCCCCTTCAAAAGGATATTTAACTTTTGCATCTCGACTCAAATGCTCTACGTTTATTTTTATTGAACGCACCAATTTGTCGAAGTAAAATAAAATAACCAGAAAATTAAATTTTAAAAAAGAAAAAATATATATAATCCTTTCCCACTTGCCCCACCCACCCCAACCCCCACTCTCGGGTTAATCAGTCAAATCTAACATGTTAATCATGTGATAATGTATATCTTTATTCCTCTCACACTGTCCAGTAACTCTGCATCTCAGTGTTACTAAAAGGTTCACGTTTAACGATGAAAAATATATATCAACGATATTATTTTTACTAAAAAATGAAAATGAAAATATAACTCTTCAAAACAAAAATTTTCTCTATTCAATCAGAAATTATATGCCAAAGATTTACAAGGTCATGGATCAAATCATTATAAGGTAATATACATCAGACAAGAATTCCAAATGGAATTAAATTGTGAAGTAATTCAAGCAATTGTTTGGATATTTTATTACCTTTCTTGATTCTTGGAATAGCGTACACATAGCATTACATTCACCTCAGATGGAGGGGGCCCATACACAAGAAAATATTCGTGGACTTCCTCTATGTGAGAGGGATGTAATGTATTATATACGCTATGAGATGTACACATAACATTTCTCAATACGATATACTACCGACCATGCACATGATCTTGCCTGGGGACATTGAAAGATTACAAAACTCTTCTCAAAAGAAGAACTCTCTTGAAAACCACACATGAAATACAAAAATAAAAAAGGTAGGTTTGGGATCATTTGCATCAATTTCCAATTATTTAACAACTATGCCTCAAAATTTCTAGTACTATTTTGGGTACAGATGTGACAGAGGCTTATAGAAAAAATAAAATTTCATGAAAAAACTCTAACATGTTGATTCACTTACGACTATCAGGAAAGAGAACAATTTTGAAAAACTTCTCAAGACTTGTTATTATCATTTAAATCAATTGATTGCTTAATTTGTGTGTATTTGATTGGTTTTATTTTCCATTCAAATTCTCATTTTTGAGGTGTTTGATTAACAATTTTTTTCATAAAAAATATTTTTCAACCTTTGATCATGTGACCATATTTTTCTCATAAACAAGAAAAATATTTTCTTTAAGGAGTGGTGATTTTTATTTTTTAGGTAATTCTCTCTCTCTCTCTCTCTCTCTCTCTCTCTCTCTCTCTCTCTCTTATCTATCCATTCTCTCTCATTTACCCTTCAATAAAAAATGGACAAGTATAATATTTTCTAGGCTAAAAACTAAATCAATCAAACACATTTAATCACTAATGTTTATATAAATAAGTTCTAGGTAATTGAATTATCTAAAATTTATTTTTTTTCATGCAAATTTCATGTTTACAATCAAACGCACTTAAAGTAATGAAAAATGTTTGAATAGTGATCAAATTTTTTTTAAATAACGATTAATTCTAAATACAGATAAGAACAAAAAAAAATAATAATAATAACAATTAACTATAAATGAAATTAAAAACGACGACTAACTCTACAATTAGATGCTATCCAATATTTTCATTCATCTTGCCAATAAGCTATAATATATCACATAATGATTTGAATCTCCTTTTGATTTCTTATCGCTCTTTGAATTTCTATTCGTAGGCTAATATACAAATATGAACTCTATAAATCCATTATCTGTAAACTAATAACCTCCATGTTTAATAATTTTTTGAGTCCTCACTTGGTTAGATTGTATAAATTAAGAATTTCGATGAATTGATAAGATAATACTTTCTTTCTTTTTCTTTCTTTTTTTCAAAATATGTCTACAAAATTGGTGGTTTTATTCACAAAATAAAATAATAAGTTGCTAAACAATGCTTAAAAAAAAATTGATTAAAAAGAAAATAAAATTGAAAAGATTTAGAATTATATTTGTAAATATTTGGTCTCGTACCCAAGTCAATAACTCATTATGTATTGTCCATTTTGAAAATCATCTGCCTTCTTAATCCTCACAACATCCTTTTGCGTCTTCAAGGATTTGAGTTCAAGATCTTTGCCTTAAGATATACTTAAGTTGAGCTTGATATCAATTCGTTAATGCTTGACCTCTATGACTATGTCGTTAACTCACTACGTAATGTCTGCTTTAGCATAGCATAAGTTATTTTAGCCCTCACGACTTTTATCGAATCCTAGAATGCGATAGAAAGTTGTGAGGGTAAAAGTGCAAATGTTCTTTTGGAGTGGACAATACATAATGAATTAACGATTTCGGCACATAAATTATGTCATTACTATATTCCTTATTTTTTTTTAAAAATTATTTTTAATAAAATAAATTTACATGTGAATTTATATCTTATTCTTATTCTTATTATTTTATAACTATGCATCCTCAAAATAATTATTTTGTCACAAAATTTATTTTTTTAAAAATTTCTAATAAAGCTGAGATTTAGTTCAACATATATCGTCCTTATTTGGCTCCCATTTTATATATATATTTTTTCTCAAACTCATTTTCAATTATAGATTTTATGTGACCCACACTTTTTATCACACATTTCATCATTTTTTATTAAAATGTACTAAAAAAAATAAGGTTTTAACTAGATCAAATATGACTATATACAAAAAAATAATGTTATGAAGCACAACTGGTACTATAACACAAGCCAAGTGGCAAAAAGTGATAAACTCAATGAATGGTAGAATTAAATGATTAAATTATTTATAACTCATCTTTAATGTCACATTATTATCATTCGTATTGGTATTCTAATACTAATGACATCACTCATATGTAAATGTCATTAATGACCTTGTTTGTAAATATTGAGTAATGCTATTCATCTTCAGAATTATCATTATGGGACGGATAGAGTATTAGGTTTGGTCTTTTCAATCATATTTCAATTGCTTTTAGCCGCCGCGTTTTTCCTCATGGAATTTTTGTGTAAGTGCGTTTCTAAACGTACATGAAGACTGTGTGAAATGAAATGGATAAAGGTACATTAGTAATGTGTGAAATGAAATGGTTCAACTCTACAAATTAAATAATTGCCACCTCATCAATTGACCGCGGGAAGCGGGATTAATTAAAACATGTCACGTGAATAATGATCGTTTGCCAGTTAGGTTTACGTAGTTACGTTCTTGGATAAAAGTTTATTAAATTATAATTCACTCCGTCCAAGACACTGTTAGGTACAACAATATATAGGAGAAAATTATAGTCAAGAGTCTCCATGCTCTATGAAATAGATCCCATTCAAATTTTCATTGTAAATATATCCCCAAACTTTTCAATATTATGCACATAGGTCCTCATGAGATGAACTGTTTATAGTCATTGGGTTACAAGTGATGCTACAAGTATAGCAGGGTGTCCACGCTCTCACATCTGGAGTGGGATCCATTTCATATGAGGGGAATGAACATCGTTATAAATAGGGATGTCAAACGGGCCCAACGGCTCGTCTATTTGGCCCCTCACCTCGTCAAAACTCGGCTCGTGGGCGGCTTGGGCTCGTCAAATAACGAGCCCAAGCCCGAGCAGGGGCTCAATCCTACGAGCCAAGCCTGGTCGGCTCGTCGAGCCCACGAGCGGCTCGTGGGCACAAGACCCACAAGCTATTTTGACGAGGCTCGTGGACTCGTCAAAAAATATTAATTTTTTTTAAAATGTCCAAAATGTGCAAATTTATCAAAAAAAAAATTAAAAAATCACGAGCTCACGAGCAGCTCGTGAGCTCGGCTCGGCTCGTCTTCCACGAGCCCGTGGGTTAATGGGCAAGCTTGGCCCATTGTCATCACTAGTTATGGATATCACATTATGTACAAGTAGTATATTCCTTGGGTTACATGCTTTGTAAATGTAATACTCCGGCCAATCTATTTTATGTGCTAGACTTTCGATTTTAAAAGGCAAATTAATAGACGTACTTCATTTAGTGAGGACTGACTTGTACTAGTTTCAATAATGTTGGATGTATATGTAAAAGAAAAAAAAATTGAATGTACTGAGTGCTGTACATCGTTATTGCATTCTATAGAAGGGTTGTCTCCCAATTCCAATAGCATGAAAGGAGGTGCTTAGTCTTTCTCTCTCCCAAAAGCCTTTTAAGTATTCTGTTCGTCCCTCTGTGTTTCTGTGTGTTTCAGCCTCTGCAGATGTACGTTTTTTTTTTGTTTTTTTATTTATTTATTTTTATTTCGTTGACTACAATTCATGCTGGATAATACATTTAAGTAAATAACTAAAATATTTTATTTGATGATACCAGTGAGTTGATTTTCCATAGAAACTCCATAGCCATGGACAATGACTTAAAAGAGAAGCTGATTGGTTCAGAAAAGGAAGAGTTGGGTGAGTTCAAAGGAAGCATTTCTGAAGAATCAAAGAAAATATGGAGGATTGCATTGCCTGGTATTATTTCAAGAGTGGCTTCATTTGGAACAGTAGTTGTTACTCAGTCATTCATTGGACACATAAGTGCAGTTGATCTTGCTGGCTATGCACTCGTTCAAACCTTAAGCGTTCGATTCGTAAATGGAATACTGGTAACAAACTCTATCCTTTTATCCGTCGAGAGTTTCTTTTTTATATGTAAAGAACACGTTCATCTACCTCTGTGATTACTTTCTGATGATATGATTATTCTCTTCTTTCTGTGAAAAATTAAAATGTTGGTTTTGCTGTGGTTTGTGAAAGATATGCTGAAAAAGGAAAAAGGTTTTATGTATATTTACGTATTGTGTTAATGGAATGAAAATTCATAATATCAATCTCTGTGATTGGGAGGCTGCTTAAAAAAAGGACAGCTGGTTCTAACAGTGAAAAAATGAGTAAAGAGATAGGCATAAATGATCAAATTTAAAATTTGCCAGCCAGAAATATGTAGGCTATGTCAATAGCCTTTACTGGCGGCTTTTATGAATGGTCGTTGCTTGCTGCCCTTTGGGGAAAAATTTCGGCGGGACTGTCGTCCAATGAGAAGTCACCATCTCATCGGGTGACACATCCTCACCTAATGAGGTGAGATCAGACCCCGTTGGGCCGTTGCACCCCATCAAAGTTTTTCTCCTTGGACAGCCCTTTTCTAAATAGAGTGTCTGTTCTCATAAGTAAATATACATTTTTCAATTTAATTGATTATTTTCCTATTATTCATAACATACCCCTTTCCGCCCGATCTCGTTAAAAGAATCTAACAAGAAAGCATCTGTCCTCATAAAGTGTATAAATTTTAAATTAACATTATCTAGCCCCACTAGATCAGATGGCAACATGTATGATATTTTGCTCGTCTAAGCCCCATTTTGAGAGGAAACAAAAAATGCATTTTTGAATAGTAATTTTTGGAGAATGTGTGATTAAAAATTAAGAAAAAACTTTTTTATTTATGTTTAATATTATTTCATTAGAAAATGTGTTGTTAAAAATGAGTTCTGAAAAAATGAATTTTCAAAAAAATGGGGCTCAAACAATTTCTACATGATAAATTCATTTAAATATAAGGAGATATGATGCATTTAATTGGATTTATTACATGTTGCCAAGCACTAGAAGGATTAGATGGAATTATTCTTAATTTTAGGATAATAGCAGCCATGGTCTCAAGCCTACAAATGAAAGTTCAGAGTAAAAACTGCAACTATTTGAAAGATATGGATTGTGACTGCAATTATCTGATGGACAGAAGGAAACCAAAGAATGAACTTCAATTGGGAGGCATATAGAAACCTTCTAATTGAGACCGTCCTTGCATGTTTTTATAAAAGGTTAGAGAAAATGTAAAATATGAGCCACCAATAGTGAAACCAAGCAGGTATGTTAAGTGGGGGAAAGCTACTTGTCGACTCGAGTACCTCCGGACGCAAGTCGAACTACATTTTTTGATGCGGTCAACTCGTACTAGTTGACTCGCTTCGCGAGCTTAAACTAGACTGGCCATTTTAGCTCGTCTAGTAAATTCTTCGTCATTTACTTCATGTAGTACTTATTTATGCAGCTAGGAATGTCAAGTGCAACGGAAACTCTATGCGGGCAAGCATTTGGAGCGAAACAGTACCATATGATGGGCATTTTCTTGCAAAGATCATGGCTAGTGGATCTCATCACACTAACAATCTTACTACCTGTTTTTATCTTAGCAACACCAATATTTAAACTACTTGGCGAGGAAGAAGCTATTGCGAAATCTGCTGGATATATTTCTCTGTGGTTCATCCCATTTGTTTATAGTCTCTTTTTTTCCTTAACGATCCAAATGTATCTACAAGCACAACAAAAGAACCTGATAATTGCATGGCTATCCACTTTGCAATTTGTAATGCACATTCCCTTGTCTTGGCTTTTTGTCTATAAATTGAATTGGGGGGTTTCTGGCGCCATGGGAGCACTCTGCATATCTTCGTGGTCTCTTGTCGTTGGAGAATTTGTATACATTTTTGGCGGTTGGTGCCCCGAGACATGGAAGGGATTCACTACAGCTGCATTAAAGGATGTGTTTCCAGTTGTGAAACTTTCAATATCTTCTGGTGTTATGGTTTGGTAAATTCTTTCTCTGATATTTCTTCATAGAAGGAAAAAAAAATCTAAAAATCTTATTCGTCGTACTATCAAATACTACAAACCAAACATGTGCATATATGTTTCAAGCATCAATTGCTTCTACCATACCATCTTCACTTATTAATAGCTTTCATTGTTTTGCAGCTTAGAGTTATGGTACTCTGCCATTCTGGTATTACTAGCAGGATACATGCAAAATGCAAAGGTTTATATATCTGCCTTTTCTATTTGGTAAGCTTACATCACAATCTTTTCTCATGTTTTTCTACATTATGAAGATATCTACTAATTAAACTAATTTTGCAGCCTTAATATTACTGCATGGGAATTAATGATTAGCTTTGGCATGATGGGTGCTGCATGGTATATATTAGTTTTTCTCTTTATATTATGACACATCTCCTATTTCTTATTGCATTTCTATTTTGTAATTGACAATTACTCATTGTTTCACTCGTTAAACAGCGTTCGTGTTGCAAATGAACTCGGGAGAGGAGATGCGAAGGCTGTAAAATTTTCAATTAAAGTCTTAACGAGTACTTCAGTATTGATAGGGCTATTCTTTTGGATTCTTTGCTTAGTATTTGGCAATAAAATCGGGTATTTGTTCACGAATGACGAAGAGGTTGCAAGTAGTGTTACTGATCTTTCTATACTACTTGCTTTCTCAGTGTTGCTAAATAGCATCTTTCCGATATTCTCAGGTAAGTCATCTATTCTTTCGAAATTTTTGTCATTTCTTTTTTCTTTTTCCACACCACCAAAATGTGGAGTCAAATCATGGTGTTTTAACATTTTCTTTACTTATTCTGTGACTTGTTTGATATTAGGGGTGGCAATTGGAGCAGGTTTACAAACAACAGTTGCAATTATTAATGTTGTTTGCTTCTATATTATTGGAATACCAATTGGAGCTTTACTTGGATATCTGACTCATCTTCAAGTTAAGGTAATATTTTGCTCCATAATGGTAAAAAGGGAAAAAATTATTCAAAAGTTTCTTTATTTGCATATAAATATCTTATATTAAAGGAGTAGAAATGCCCTTGAAACCATGATTGAATTGAACTGCAAATATTACATCATGTTCATTACACTAGATTCATTGAGATTGTACACGACAAACAGATAAATGTTATTAGGCATCCTTAATCCTCAATGAAATCCATGGCATGTCAAATTTTTGCAACAATGACTAGAATAAAGAACAAAATTTGTTAGTTATACTCTGAAATTTCCAACACCAAACATGTCCATACAGTCACGTCAATCCAACATATCAAACAATGTTCTTGCAACACTTTTCACGACATTCTTGAAATAATATTGAATTTACAGGGCATATGGATTGGGATGTTGTGTGGGGTGCTCGCCGAGACATTTGCATTAAGCTTCATGACATGGAGAACAAATTGGGATCAACAGGTAAATTTGGAAAATAAATAAATCGAAGAGAAGTGAATAAACGTGTTTATTAATTTTTTGTTAAATAATTTTATTACAGGTATTTAAATCTTCATCGCGCCTCCAAAAGTGGTACTTAAAGTCTTCTGATGAGATTGATCTGAAGTCTGAACTTGCTTGAAGAACAACTATCATTGATTTTTACAAAAATTTTGTGCCAAATCTCATTCTTTTTATGTTTAATTGTTAAGAACATTTGCATTGCTCGTGCCTTATGACAGTATTATTTTTTATGTGGAACATCATAGCGTCCTTGTCGAACAAAAATTAAACAGTCTTTCGATCGTGTAATTCTTGCATCTATATAGTTTGAATTTTGTTTCACCTTTCATCAACAATTAATTAGGTGTACTTTATTTCACTTCAAAGTTTGCATTCTTTTTTTTTTCTCAGAGCATAAAACATATATGAAAATATAAAACATGGAAGCTATAACTAATTACAAGGATATTAATTGTAAGTATTAGATAACTCAAACAGCTAAAAATTGGAAGTAGAAAGAGCAATATTTGGTAAAATCCTGTAAGAGTATGAGATCGTTGACAAGTAATAATATAGTGAACAAAAATATAGCTACACGAAGAATTACATTTAATTTTAGTATACTAGTGTTTAACTAATTCAATCAATGGTAACAAAATAAAGTGGTTGCTGATTTTGCTCAAAGTTATACTATAAATGCAATAAACTACGATTTTTTATTAGATACGAGATGAAAGTTTGGATGTCCAATCCACCAATTAACTTCTAGTTCCAATTCAACTCGTGTTGGTCAATCTAATTAATATGCTTGTGACGATCAATAAGGCAATGTTTTTTAATATTCTTTTTTCAAGATATACTAAACCTTATTCAACAAGGTTAGATCTCATTCCTAGTCCGAATTCATATAAAAAAATATGTATTAAATTTTACGATTATTTCACGCGACTGCACACACACCAAAAATATTATTCCTAATTTTTATTGCTTGTGCGTTCCATATACAATGTTATTCCAATTGTGGATTTTTCGACACTATAAATAAGCAGTAGATTGTCCTAATGGTGTGCAATCATTAAAAAAAAATGAAAGAATGATGATGTATATGGATTCACAACACAGTAATTAATTGAAACACAATCTCAAACTAAAAACTAAGGGCATGTTTAATAGGCTCCATTTTCCTCCCAAATGGTATGTTTGATAGGCAAAATTTTCTATGGAATTGATTTTCCACCCAACCCCTCACGTGACCCCTTTTTCCAAGTTTTTAAGGAATTGGTTTTCCTTCAGTTTTGGTGGAAATTGGTTTTCCGACTGCTCTTTTTTTTTTTTTTAATTTTTTTAGCAATTGGAACAAATTCTATCTCTTTGATTGACAATTTTCGTGAAAACAAATCAAATGAACACCAAAAAATAAAAAAATTCAACATTTTTCAAGTGAAAAATTATATCAATCAAACATATTTAATTGACAATTCCCAAGAAAACGAGTTTTAGGCAATTCAATTCCTTAAAATTCATTTTCTTTCTACCCAATTCTTGTAATCAAACGAACTCTAACAGTCAAAAGGTTTTGTCATCCATCCAATACAATTAAGGGGAATTATCAAAAATGACACTTTTTTGAAAATTGCTATAAAACTTTTGATGTGCACTAAATTTTATCAAAAATGTCACTTTTTTGGTGGAAAATGTCCAAATTACCCTTAATCTCCCCTTTTCAGGAGCATTAAATGCTCATTAATGGTAGCCTCCAATCCAATCAATTGTAATTATTTCATTATTTAATATGTATATCATAATGATTTGGTAAATGTATATTATATTGTATAATATGAATTGACTAAAAAGAGAAAAGACGTAAAAAAAATTAAAAGAAGCAAAAATAAGATAAAAGAAGCAAAACAATCATAGTTCACATCAAATACATCCCTTCTTGAAAAAACCCTCCATTTTCTTTCATCTTCTTTATTCCTTCATCAACAATATATTGCTATTCAATTCATCATCCATTTGGAGAGGTTAGTTATTACAAATTATTTATATTTTTATGTAATAACTTATTATTTTCCACATATTAAAAGCAACATGATCATCAAAGTGAAGAAAGCATTTAAAACCACTATTAATGATGATAGTATTGTTTTTTCTTTTATTGTTTTTTCTTTTTCAAATCATTTTAAAGGGAAAATATACCAAAAATATTTAGGGACTTGTCAACTATTCCATATTTAATGAAGCAGTCATTTGTTTATGGAGATCTATAGAGCAATGGAATAATTATTGTAGTTGAGAATTGATTATAACCATTAATATTTCGGAGAAAGTAACAAACAAACAAGCGTTAAACTTGTCGGCGGTCTCGACAGTTTATCTGTCGATCTCGACGGTTATAAATGTCGATCTCGACATATAGAAACTATTGAGATCGACAGATAAACTTTCGGGATAGAGTTTTAAACTGTCAAAATCGACA